TTGACATTATAAAGAATTTTTTCAAATTTTTGGTGTAAAAAATGACAAATTCATTTTATTATGGAATAGCTATGCTTTAATTCCAAGGACTTTCAGAGAAAGTAGAAATCCCTGTGGACTAGCACTCAGCACCTGGGCCAGTGTGGTAGCATTCTCTTTCTTGCTATGCTGACTTGCCTCATGCTTCTCAGTCTCCTGATACTACTTCCTGTTCATAAACATGTATGTTCTTCATTTTCTCCGAAAGAACCATGACATTAATGAATATTCAAAGGCACAGTTTTCCTGAGTTTACTTACTTATACATAGAAGAACTTTTAGGAGATCTCCAACTCATAACTTTCTAAGTCTTCAGTAAGAGTTGAATCTCCATGAGCTGTGCCAGAGGGTTCACGAACTCATGTGAAACAGACTTACTGAGCAAAAACAGGTAACATGGCCACAGTGGCCTGGCGTTTCTCATTTCATAAGATGTCACAGTCCCTGGCAACTTCAGACCTTTCAAAACATGGGCAAACTTCAAGTATTTTAGTGAGATTTAGGTAAAGCCATCTCTTGAACATCTGACAACAACCATGATGACATGAACCAACCCCGAAGCTATCTGGGCAAACTTTGGGCATCAAGTTTATTTCTTGGATTAACCCTTAGGCATTTGGAGCTGGCCGGACATTGCGTTAGTTTCCTATCTGCTCTTTGAGGAGGGCATTTAACATAATGGGTAAGTTCTAGGCTCTAGAGACAGCTGCCTGGATCAAATTCCAGTATCGCTGCTTATTATTTATGTGAGCATAGGTGAGTTTTGAGTTTGGGTTTTTTTTTTTGTTTCTTTGTCTTTTTGAGGAGAAGGAAAGAGAAGTTTATTACTTTTCTAGCAAACGAGGACAATGTCAGACAGTGATCTCAAAACTTAGATTCCTGCTTCTGAGCAGAAGCATAGAGCTTTTAAAGGTTCTGATCCCATTACTTGGGTGAGTTTTATAACTTCCCTGTGCTTCAGTTTTTTTCATATCTAATATAGGGAAATTATAATGCCCATTTAATACAGTTATTGTGGGAATTAAATACAATAATGCAAGTAAAGTACTAGAACAATACCCATGTTGTGTCTGCAGTGTAGCTGTGCACAGTGGTTACATTCTAAGGCCCCAAGGTGGGAGTATCAAAGGCCAAATCAAGGACAAAAGATAGATGATGAAAGAATGGGTCAGGACGTCTTCAGATAAAGGGGGAATATAATGGGATGTTACAAGCCTGAGTGAGGAGAATGTCGGGTCAAAGAGAGCACAGACCTCAAGTCCTTTCATGGGAAAAAGTTTATCATGAATAGAAACTAAGTAAAAGTAAATAAACATGACAATGAATTATTGTAGGGTGGCAATGGTTATTTAAGTAACTAAAGCCTGTTTTGGCAGAAGTATGGGAAAATAGGTTTAGTTATACCCTACTAATAGAAGTATAAATTGGAATAGTTTTGGGGGGGACCTAATTGGCAAAATAAGTTAAAGGTCCTTAAATATGTATATCTTGAAGTGCTCTTTGTTCTACTTTTAGGTCTTTTTACTATTGAAAAGCAACTTGAATTCATAACAGGAAGATGCTAAATGAGTTATGACTGATCTGGACACTGTTACTGATGTGCAGGTTGAAAATCATTCAGTAGTTGACCATATAAATCCTGTAAATCCACATGTCATTATACGGTTTCTATAACTAGTCTATTGGGCTCTGTAGAGAGGAATCTTCTTTATTCATGAAGAAAAGTTGACTCAAGTCTTAGAGCAGTGTCTAACCTGTGGCCTGTAGGCTCTGTGTGGGTTATGTGACTCTGATCAGCCCCACCCCAGGCAACCACTGACCTGCTTTCTGTCACTGTTGATAACTGGTAACGATTTTTTAATAATAATGTACAATACCAGAAACAAAATAGGTAACCACATACTTTTCGTATGTGTCTGTGGGAATGTGAAATTGATACACCTTCTTTGGAGGGCAATTTGTTAGAGCTAAAAAACCGAGGATACATTATCCTTTGAACTAGCAATTCTGCTTCTAACTTGAGAAAATAAAATTTTCATGTGAACAAGCATTTAATTACAAGAATGTTTATCACTGTGTGCAAAACAATGGAAACAAATTTGATATCCAACAAAATGAAATTGTTTAAAGAAACCATTTATATGATGAAATAGTATGCTTTTAAAATTAGTAGTAGAGGTATATTGTTTATTAAACAAAAATAAGATCATATGGTGTTCCTGTGTCTTAACTTGTTTCTTTTTTTTTCTGAGTTAACAACTAAAAAGTGCATAGATAAAAAAAGATTAAAGGCATATCTTTAAAGCAAAAGGTGGAAAGTAGTTTCCTCTGGCTGGCAAGATCCATCCAAATTTTTTCCAATGCATATGTTTTCTTTTAAAAAATTAGTGAAATATCTCAATTTGATGGGACCTCACCTATGGGGCATATTGCAAGGGTACATGTCAGATTTATTAAGAGTAGAGTATAAATGTCTTAACACAATAATTAAGTGAGGTGAAAGCTATGCTAACTAGTTTGATGTAAGCATTTCAAATTGTATATTAAATCAACATATTGTAACCCATAAATGCAATAATGTACAGTTATGGTTTAATAAAATGTTAAGAGAAAAACAAAAAAAAATTAGTGAAATATCTTCCTGATTATAAAAAACTAATATTTGTTAATGCAGAAAATTTGAAAATTAGCACAAGGCATAAAGAAAGTGCATGAAATAGGATAGATACACACTGGTCTCTTGGTATCCTTGCAGACACCGAAGTGGTGGACGTTCAAGTCTCTGATAGAAAATGGCAAGGTATTTATATATAGCCTGTGTACCTCCTCCCATAGTTTAAATCATCTGTTACTTTTAATACCCAATACGATGTAAGGTCTGTGTAAATATGTATACATATTATACTATATGCTACATTAAATTTATATTATTTCTTCTACTGTTTTTAATTTTTCAAATATTTTCTACCTGCTATTGGTTTAATTTGGGAATGTAGAAACTGTAGATATGGAGGGTTAATTGTATCATTTAAAGCTCTTTAAACTATTTTTTGAGAAAACTTACAACACTCTTTTCATGTTTTAATGACATCAAGACAAAATTCCCTGGAATTTGGCCCCTGCCTGCCTCCACATGTACTTTTTGCAGTTCTCACTCCCTCACCAAGCTCTGGGGTAGGGGTAGAGAGAGAGATAGGCATGGCCTTAGGTTTCCTGGAACACACACTCTCCTGCCCTATCTGCCTTTAGTCCTGCTCTTCCTTGGCTGAATTCTCCTCATCCCTTGAAATTTACTGTTAACATCATCTCCAGCAAGCCTTTCCTGAGCTTCTAGTGTTTCTCCTTTCTCATTCCCACTGCTCTCTAGTGAGGCCCCTACCACATTGTATTATCCATTTTCATTATGCTATCCTAATAGACTGAGCATGAGTTGAGGTCAAGAAAGTATTGGTTGGCAGTACAATTCCTGGAACATAGCGATAGGAGCTTACCTGAGGGAGGGAGGGATAGAGAGAAAATAAGAATGCATAAACTGAGTAATAGAAATAAAGGTGTGTGATCAGACAGTCCTGGAGTATTAGAAGAATTATGAATATATTTATATATTATGACTAGAGCTTAGGGTCTTCATGAAGAATTTGGTAGATGAAGATAGAGACCTAAGTAGAAGTCAGATTGTTAAGGGCTTCCTATGTCATCCTAAGGCGTTTACATGAACAAAGTGAGAATTTCAACAAAGAGAGAAAACTGTACCAAACAGAAATCATGGGACTGAAGAATATAATAACTGAAGTGAAAAATTCACTAGAGGGGTTCAGTAGTATATAAGATTAAGAAGAAAGGAACAACAAACTCATAGGTTACTGGACAGTACCCACGGAGAGGAGAGTGTCTCCAGCATTTCCCAAAGTGTTTGCTGCTATTGTTCTGTAAAAGGCTCAGATGTAACACAAACTTGGGGAATCCTGGATTAAGCCAAGCCAACAGAATAGATTTCTGTTCTCTGGGCTTCTCAGATTCTTTACCACATTAATGTGCATTTTCTTAAACCCTCCAGAAAGGTGTATGTGATCTAATTTGTCGTACTGTCCAAATTTATTTACCGTGGAACCCTTTTATTTGGAAACTATGTTGTTATAGAACACATTTTGGGAAATAGACATTGGAGAGCCAAAGAGTAGTGAAACCTTGCAGTGACTGTTACAGTAGCCCCTTGATGGAACCCAAACTTCTGAAGTTTCAATTTTGTCAAAAGGCTGCACTCAAAGGTCCAGAAGACCAAGGGTCTCTAAGCCATGATAACATAGGCAAATCCTAGAGATATTTGACCAAGGTTATGGGTTAATCAGAGATGGTTGCCAGGAGTGTAGGGTGGGTAATGAGCACATAATTGGTGGTATTATAAGAAGCTAAGCTAGTGTTGGAAAGCCCTGTACTTTTTGACATGTCCATGAGTTAAGAGTTGTCTGTGGGACATCCCTGTGGAGAGGAGAGGATAACTATACCATTGGTGGGTCTGTACCTCTGAAGAAATGTGGCCTGATCATTTTACTTTTCTGTGCCTCAGTTGCTGCAGATGTTGGGAGTTCATGCCTGCTTTGTGAGATATAAAATATTAAATTACAGAATGAAGACACTGCACACTTTCCATCTTCTTCCCCACTGTACTTCCACACCTCAGTCCCTTCTCTTCCCACAGCTTCCCTGCTACACCCAAGTTCCAGTGAAATCACTTTGATGGACTTTTTTAACTTCTGATTTTAGGAATATTGAAATGTGTCTTATCCATCTCCAGCTGCAGTTGCCCCTGCAGATATGAGGAAGATGCTGGATTGGCAGTGTTCCTCAGATCTTTGCTGCTTCACCAAGCGAGGCCATTGACTTAGTAATGCTACATACGTATAACGGTTCTATTCAGGTATTTTAAATGTAATAACAGTGTTCCTTCATTTTATTTATAGCTCCAAAAGGAATTCTTCATTTGTCTCCTGATGTTTATCAAGAGATGGAAGCCAGCCGCCACAAAGTAATCTCTGGCACTACTCTAGGCTATTTGTCACCCAAAGATATGAACCAACCTTCAAGCTCTTTCTTCAGTATATCTCCAACATCGAATAGTTCAGCTACAATTGCCAGGGAACTTCTTATGAATGGAACATCTCCTACAGCTGAAGCCATAGGTTTAAAAGGAAGTTCTCCTACTCCCCCTTGTTCTCCAGTACAACCTTCAAAACAACTGGAATATTTAGCAAGGATTCAAGGCTTTCAGGTATGAATTAAAAGCAAAAACAAAAAGAAAAACAAAACAATTCATTAGCCCCAGATCCTTCATCTCTGTCCATCACAAGGCTCATTTTGCCGGCTAGTGTGGCCTGTGTGCCTCTCCCATTGTAAGTTATTTAGAAACACAAAGGACAGAAAGAGAGAGCCATGTGCACACGCCTCATTTCCTCTTATTTTTGGTCTATCCAGTGATTTCCTTTGCTGCCTGATTCTCCTCCATTTCCCTTCTTCTTTTTCTTCTTTTTTAAAAAACCATTTTTCATACTCTGCACTGTCATCCATTTGGTCTTGATTGGGTGCATCTATCTCCTCATTCTGTCTTCCACAGACGAAATTCTGCCTTCAGACATCTGATGTTACTATTTTGCACTCAGTTCTCCCTCTTTTTACATCAGGGTTGAGTTTTTCTAATAATGATTTTACTTTCACGGCAGTTTGGAATTTGGCATTTTATTGCTAGTAATGATTCAAGTACACCATTAAGATACAACATCCTAGAAATACATTACCTTAGGAGTTAATTAAACATGGTGTTTGAAGAATAACGAAATGCTTTCTAGTTGTTTGAGGCATAACAATGTGTCTTTGTTTTCCTGGATAATGTTTTGAACTGACTAGATAGAGTAGTAGCTCCTGCCTCAGATGGTACCAACAATTCTATTTCACTGGGTAGTCTAAAATTAGATTATAGTTTAACTTAACTTGTGTATGTGAATTTAGGGATGGAGACTTTTTTTATCCTATTTATTCTTTGTTTCCTTTTGGAAAAATCCCTGCAAAAACCAACACTTCTTTATGGATAGATCAGAACTTTTAAAAGAATTGTTAAATCTAGGAAGGGGAAATGTTTATGTCCTGACTTATTAGTTGCCTTGAAAAATCATGTACTGAACTGTAACTACGCTCATAACTGAATGAACCGCAGCTTGGTTGTATGTAGGAAGAGGGTCCCGCTCCCTCCGCTTTCACTGTTCCCAACCCTTTCATAGTCTGCCTCCTTAAGACCAAAAACTGTAATTTCCTTTAGAAATGCTCTAGAAAATCTGTATTGTGTAGAATGATCATGTATTTATAAAAATTTTTACAAGTTTAGATTATAAAGTGAGAAAGAAGATCATGTGTTTTGGGGGGTATTTTGCATGTTTGTTTTTCCCCCTTTCACAGAACCCTTCTGATCCTTTCAGACAATATATTGCCAGGTAGCCGTTAGTGTTTTTCATTGGACTATTAATATGAAATTAAAGAAGCTGTTACCAGTTATTGGCTCTGTTATCTGAAATTTTAATCACTTAATTTAAAGTTACAACTATAGAACTTGCTTTCATTGTTTAAGAATCACAATAAATCACTGTTGTAAAAATAAAAAGAGCTTGATTCATATAGTTAAAGTACTGAGAAAAAGTCAAGTAGTTTTTAGTTCTATCCATAATCTACATAGGATGAATTAGAAATGAACTGTGATGAAAAGAAATTCACCACTTAAATACAAATCTAGTTATTTAGAAATGTGTAAACTCAAGTAACACTGCATTTTTATAGAAACAAAGCACACATTGCATTCAGGCTCTGAATTGATTTTTTGCTTGGAGAGGTATTACAGTAGATATAATTTTGCTGTCAGAAGAACTTCTTAATGTTTTTAATTTGCTTTTGTTAGTTCTTGGCCATGACAATAATTATAAATTTAATGTATCGTCACCTCAGCCAACGTGTAGAGTCTGGTTCCCCCATTGGTGGGCTGCTGCTTAGACCTCTTTTAAAAGCTTATGCTGAGAAAATATAATCTTATTTAAGGACAAGTTAAACATTTCCAAATCTGTGTATTGTGATTTTTACATATTAATGAATATAAAAAGTTGGTTTTAAGACATTACTATGCTTCTTTGGTTGAATGAGCTGGTATTGCTTAAAATCCCACGTCACTGATAGACCACAAGCTGCAGCTGTGTAGTGACCACAAGTCTCTGTGAGAATGGCTTAGTGGCCTGTCACTTGCTAGTCCATCTTCATAATGTCGCAGTAGAAGGTTCTTTGTGGTTAAGAACTTCAAAACCTATTTCTTTAAAGGTAACTTTCTCAGGTATATTTACCTGGTAGAAACATGTAGGTTGTTTCTGTTTCTTAAATGTTTTATTTAGATGGTAGTTTAGAAGTTATAGGGCCAGCTCGTTTATGGATTATGTGCTACTCTGTTACTTTTATTTCTGGAACTTAAAATCAATAAATCATTTCTTTGTGTTTCTAGGTTAGTACTTTTTTATTTTGTTTGCACACTGAACAGATACTATTGCTTATTGAATATTGTGTAAACTCTTCTTTGGCCCTCCTTGCTCATTGCAGTTTGATTTAAGCCTACTAGAGCCGTTGTATGTGACAGCTGTATTGCATTAAAAGGAAAAATATGTGAGTGTACTGACAATGAAGTTGTTTTAGCTTTTTTTTTTTAATTTATTTTTTCATTTACTCAATCTTCAATTTGAATTTGTAAATTACAAAAGCTAATGTGCTCATTGGAATGTAGATATCAAGCTCACATCCTTTTGCTTAAATCTACAAGATAAGTACAATTATTATCTAACTAAAGTTATTAATAAAGCTGACTTCACAGAGCGGAATGTAAGTAAGCACTTGTACATTCTCAGCAGTTCCTTTATTTTTGCTTGGACTCACCTAAGATTGTTAACGTGTTTTAGAATCAAGCCTTTTGGATCTGTCAGAAATCCAAACAAACAAAACTTGTTTCTGAAATTTTAAATCTCTTCTTTTAAAACCTGAACATTCTTGTTGATTTATGTTTTAGAAAAAAAAAAAGTTTTAGGTCAGTAGTTCTATGAACCTTAGACTTTGTCCAGCCCAGTCAGTTCACTTAATAACTTCTACACATTTCAGAAAAACTCATTCGAAATTGTAGTCATACCATAGTGTTTCAGGGTTCCTTGTTGTATACTTTGATTTAGTTATAATGCCCAAATGTTTCCGAATCATTCAACTGTTTAAGAAAAATTATGAAAGAGACATTCTTAAAATGTACATTTGAGCTAAAGTAAAAGATTTTATGTTGTACTTTATATTATTCTAAGTTTTTACATCTTTAATTTACTAATTATATTAGAAATCTTTTTTATGGCTC